ATTACAAAAACACCCTTAAAATTTTAAAATTTATAAAAAAATACGTTGAAAATTTCAAAACTATAAACACACTAATAACATACAAATAACACAAACAACCTCCAAAAAATTATGAAATTTGTAATAAACACTCTGAACTTTTACAAATCACAAAATAAAATCCTCAAAATTATAAAATTTACAAAAATCCTAATAATTTCTAACCTAACAGTACATTAAAATTATAAGAATTACAAATATCCCCTACATAGTTTATAATTTATAGAAAACACTCTTAAAAGTTCAAAAATTACAAACAAACACTCAAAATTCAAATTTTATAAAAAAACACACTGAGAATTTCAAACTCATTAGTAAATTAAAAACATATGAATTATAAATAGTCTATAAATAATTTATAATATGTAGAAAAGACCTATAGGTTTAAAAAAATTACAAAAAAAATCCTAAAATTCATAATTTACAAAAAAAAATCCATGAGAATTTCTAACCTATAGACACTAAAATGAATATACAAATTACTAACAACCACTAGAAAATTAAAAATTTACAAAAAATATAATACTCCCTTTAAAAGTATAAGTTCCGGAAAAACTTTTCATGATCAATATTAGCCATAACTTTTTTGAAAAGAACATAACTAATTAAAAAATCTATTAAATTTAAAATTTACAACAAAACCCTTAACGTTTGGTATATTACAAATTATCCCTCCAAAGTTTAAAATATTTCAATGGTTGTTTGTAATTCATTGATTTCAATGTAATGTTTAATAGTTTTGCATATTTTTAAATTACAAATTTTTAGGGTGTTTTTCTATAAATTTTAAATTTTTTGAGGGTGTTTCTTTTGTAGTTTTCTAAATTTTTATTGTGTTTTCAGTATAATGCGTAAATAAGTCAATTAATGATGATATTGAAGAACAAGTCAAGTCGTTCTTAAGATGTATTAGGCTATAGTTAAGTGTCCACATCACTATTCCTAGGCAATACAATTTATATATGCAAAAAAATTTAGAAACTCTATATAGTGGTTAAAAGGATTTTGACTTTAATATACTATTTTTTCTAAATTGTACTTAATGTGAACCTACTATATAATTTTGACCGTGGTCATCATAATTTTAATATGTTTGATTGATTGATTATATATGTATATAGACCATAAATTACTTTACTTTCTCGCATGAACTAATATTTGGCGCTTAATAATTTAAATTATTACTTTTAAATTTGATATAAAGAGGAACTCTAATAACGTTTATTTATTAACCTATAGGATAACACAAATCTCAATTCCTATTTTTTATTTGAGATTTATTCAATAATTATGCATATTAAATTAGTAATTAAAATAATAATTATTTATGTTTAAATTATGATGATTGTAGTTTGTTACTCACTATGAAATTTTCATGAAGATATATACATTACTTCCTATAGCTATCTGTACTGCCCATTTATATTTTATAAATTAGTTGTTAATTTGATATATTAGATTACTTTTCATTTGTAGAAATTTCTTCTTTGACTTTCAGATTACGTAATCACTATATCATCATTCTAGTGTAGAAAGAACCTCACTCTAAATGGCTTCAAGCCAATGTTTGAGTTGAACAGAAGTATATACTATTGCTACTATGTGTATATATTTTTTAAGAAAATCATGTTAATACTTTTTAAATAGAAAAGAATATTCTAACTGTTTTGGTCGAAAATTGATTTCTTCTTTGAGGTATTCATTACAACTTCAGTCGTTACAATGAAAACAAAAAGATAATATTTTTATATGACTCTTACACAATAAAAATAAAAAATTACAACTCTCGTTAAAACAAACATAACGGACATTTATCACCCGCTGTTTGCGTGGGATCTTTACCTGTGTCGGGGTCTATCCGTGGACCATCGAACGATCAGATCAATCCGGAGTTTCATTGATTTATGAAAGAATCAAGAAACTGAAGCAATTATCTCGGTAATAGCGAGATAACCATTCTTCTCGATATCGTAGCTAGGTACGATCTCAAGGGAAGGAACCGGACTATGGATCTGACGAACTTCTCTTCCTTATGTCGAAGAACTCGATCCGATCTCCTCCTCCTCTTTGAAATTCGTGCTCCTCAGTCTTTGATTCAGCAGGGCTTCACCAATGCTCGAGAATTCCAGATTAGTCTAAATGAAGGCCCTAGGGCTGTATTTATAGGCTTCAGGAGCTCTGTTTTCCAATAAAAACAGTTGATTCACTCTTATCCTCAGTTATAACCACTTTACCAAGTTCTAGGATAGCATTAGATCAGTTGGAAAAAATCCAGATGGTTAACGAGTGAAAACAGCTTCGAAACAGCTTTTTAAGCTGGCGGACACTCGAAGTGTCTCGTCCTTGGCCAAGACACTCAAGGTGTCTCGGCCTTGGCCGAGACACTCAGAGTGTCTCCGCTTGTTTTACCTCTAACTCTCTCATATGATCTCTAAATAAAGTGATTCAAGATGAATTGGAAAGCTGATAAAGAGATCTATAACTTTTGTCTTTTGATTTTCTTCATATTCGAATCGAAGCATAGCCAAAATCTATATTCTTCTCCGAGACACAAACACTGTCTCAGAATTCTGAAGCAGTTTGTACTATCTTTGGTATATTAGCTCTATCTCTTTCATCTGATCTCAGAATAAGTTGATCTAAGATGAGTTGGAAAGATAACAAGGAGATCTACAACTTTAATCTTTTAAGTTTCTTCAGATTCAAAGCGAAATAGTCTCTACTAGGACCGAGACAGTCCAACTGTCTCGGCCTTGGCCGAGACAGTGCAAGTATCTCTCTATTGTTTTGCCTCTAAATCTCTTATACGACCTCGGAATAAAGTTATCCAGGATGCGTTGGAAATATGGAGGAGAAATATATAACTTTTATCTTTTGAGCTTCTTCAGATTCAAAGCGAGACAGTCTTTACTAGGACGGAGACACTTAGAATGTCTCCGCTAAGTCCCGGACATTATTTAGGCGCGCCTCGGTTATTTTCGCTGTATTTTTGTTGTCCGGACTCGGAATTGCACGATTCAAAGTGCGAAGGAAAGATGACGAGAAGATCTACAAGCTCACATGGTTGAATCATATGTGGAGTAGATGGAACACGAGGGGCGCTTTATCTTTCGTAAGCGAAGCGTAGCTCCCGATCAGTTCGTATCTTTATTATTCTGCAGTTCCGTTGTTTCACCCAGTTCATCGACTTACTTCATACGTTTATCGACATTAATTAAGCTTTTGTAACCCATATAGTGATGTTCATCGTCTTCTCTCTATCTCGAGCTGCATGCGGGAATCCGTGGACAATTTTTGACGCCTACACTAACATTTGATATTATAATAACTAAATATAGCCAATTGAGTGATTAGTAAAAGATAACTTACATCAGAAAAGCGTGAATAATAACATAAAGAGGAAAGGTAGTGGTATTACAAACAGTACTACCAATAGCAAGCTACAATATAAGGTTAACCTATTTTGTGGAGCCCAACTACTAGCCATAAGCATCCAGGTATAGTAATATTATTGTAATAATATCGTTATTAGAGAAAATTCTTCATAAACCAGTATGTTCTTTACGATACATTAGCTATACACTCCAAAATTCTTGTGTCTTTTATAGAGACAAAAAAAAGTTTGAATATGAGCCTCTAACATTTTGCTCTCACAACAGCGAAATTAACTTAGTAGATGTAGATATTCTAAATGAATTATATGTCCTATGTACAATACAATAGCCCTAGGCAAGTGAGTTATAATAGCATTTTTCATTCATATTGTTTGGGATAAGATTTGATATGGACCTTGCATCAAAGAAAAAAAGGATTTTTTATATTTAGAACACATGGTGAAATATATCATAATCATTTAGCTCTAATTTTACAAGAAAATATTTTTTCATACTTTCAGTTTTACTTTTATGACACGAAGAATGAGCTATAAAATTGAAAGAGAATATTAGATAATGTGAATATGAGTGAAAGTTAATGTGAATATGAGCCAAACCACAACTAAAAGTTTAATGGACATATTGCAAGTAAATTTATGTGCAAAATTCCTTTACGAATTGAATGATCATCCATCTTTTGAAGACTTCAAGATACTAATAAACAGAGATATTGTACTAAATTAATGTGTTTATAACTCACAAATAGTAGATCACGTGATCACAGCCTGGGTTGAAGGAAACAATAATAATATTTTATTTAAGAGAGAGATTATTGAGTTGATTATCATCCCACAAAACCTGTATTTTCTTTTTTCTTTTTATTCTATTTTTATCAATTTAAATAATAATGATATTCAACTACGTGCATTGTATGTGCATGTCAACTAGTTAAAAATAAAAATATGAAGATCTTGAGACTCAAAATTCAAAATATAAATATGTGAAGATCAATACTTTTATTACTTTGAGTAGATTTATAGCTTCCATTTTTTTTTTTGACTTTCATGCAGGACTTGTGAGATTTGTCATTCCCCTTTCGCGTCTCAAAGCGAAAACATAATAAATTGATTAAAAATAGGACAAAATTTTAAATTTAATCCGTTTAGAAACTTAATTGTAAAAAACAACCCATTTTAAAATTATTTACCAAATCCGACCAAGTTTCAGCTAGTTGGCTGAAACTAGGTCGAATTTGGTGAAAAAATTTGTTCACGTGATTTAAAGTCCCGTGAAATTTTTCAATTTAGCCAACTTCACGGGACTTCAAGTCCCGTGAAGTTTCAGGCATATATTCCAGAGAGCTTCTGAATAGTGTCCTTGAAGTTGCAGAGGGCTGTGACAAATCTGCATATGTTGTATTCAGATGCAAAATCTAAGAAGAACAAGGGGATAAATCAACCTACAAAAGACCCCATCTCTTATATTTTATTTTCTCTCCCTAACATGTCTCCATCTCCCTTTCCCTCTTTATATATGCTGCTAACTAGTCTGTACTCTTTACCCCAGAAAACACAATCACAACAGAAGATGGCGAGAAAGAGGAAGAACACCGAACCAGAAGATTCTGGTATGAGCTCAAGTGCAAGCTCAGTTGGGCATGTAGGGAATGAGGGAGTGGCTGCATTTGGTGGCATTCGACGAGCCAGAAAGCGATTTGTGGGGGTTCGTCAGAGGCCTTCTTGTCGATGGGTGGAAGAGATCAAGGACACGATTCAGAAGATAAGAGTGTGGATTGGCACATTCGATACCGCCGAAGAGCTGCTCGAGCCTACGATGAGGCTGCTTGTCTTCTTCGTGGCGCCAACACTCGACAAACTTCTGGCCTTGCTCTCCATAGAAGCCCTTTGCAACTTCTGTGACACAATTCAGAAGCTCTCTATGCCTGAAACTTCACGGGACTTGAGTCCCGTGAACTTATATACCCCTAATCAACTTTGTTAGTGGGGGCTTAAACTTCACGAGACTTAAAGTCCCGTGAAGTTTCGTAAATTTTTTTACCAAATTCGACCCAGTTTCAGCTAACTGACTAAAAGTAGGTCGAATTTGATAAATAATTACAAAATGGATCGTTTTTGACAATTAAGTTTTTAAACAGGTGGAATTTGAAAATTTGTCCTTAAAAATAAGACATTGTATGAGTCTCTAGCCGACAGCTCGGCAAATGAAGTAGGGGCCGGATCTACGTGCTCAGCCCCTTGATCCGCACCGCACCAACCTTAATACCACAAAATCCTCCATATTTTTTTTATTAAACGAAACAAAAAGCAAATAGCAGGCAGCGATCCTCGCTCGTCGGTTCGATCGCGAGATCAGACGGCGCGATGATCCCGACCGTCCGATCTCTCCCCCTTGTCGCCGTCGTCGTGCTCTCCCTCTTCTTCGTCGTCACGCTCGCTTCCGAGTCCGATCACAAGGTACGAACCCTAGATTCCCTGGATCTGTTGCTTCTGCTGATGGAATCATGTTTTCAGCTGTGGGTTGCTTTGGATTTGAAGTTGGTGCTTTAGATCCGGGTTTTTGGATCTGGAGTTGTTCCTTTTTTTCTTAGTTAACTGAAGTTTATTTATGCTTCGACTGCTTAAACTAGAGCCTTCAAGAGCTTAATTGGTGGTGTTAGGGCTAGATTTGGAACGAGGATGCTTGAATTGTGTCGGTAGGTTCTTTGTTGCGAAAATCAACATCAAGATGCAATCTTGTTGAGAGTCTGAACTGTACTGCATGATTTAGTCGATGCAGTGTTAGTCTTATTAGTTCTTGACCTTCCTTTGTTTCTTATGGTGGGACAGTTGTTACCAAGATTTAATTTTTAAGAAGCTCGACTGTTGTCCTGCACCTCCAATGGCATTTGCGTTTAGCTGCATAGACTAAGTATGAGTTGACGACAAGGAGAGAGTACCTTGAAAGTAAGAAACTTTAGTATTGCTAAGGTTTAAAACGTGATTAATGGTTCTTTACAGTTGATATATCTCGGCACCACATTCTCAGAAATAGGATTTCCAGACATTGGATTCCTTAAATCGCGTATTACCGTGTTTGATCTAACCTTATCGTTCCATGCAATATAATACCTGTATGAACATTGAACGATTACAAAGAATGCGATCCTTGTTAATGCGTCTTTTGTGAGCTAAGAGGAGGAAGAGAATGAGGTAAGTACAGTGTTGGTAGCGGCAACAAGGTAATGGTGGCAGCAACAATGATGGTGACAAAAGAAAACAATAATGATAGTGAAGATAGTTGCAACATATGCCATTGTAATTAGTCACCACTACAATGATCTGACAATCCCATGGCAATGTTAGTGTTGATGGTTGTGGAGGCTGGAACTTGTTGTGGCGTCGGCAATCACATGCTACAAATACAATTGCACTTTGGAGCAAGGATGACAATAGTGTTGCTGGTGATGGTGAGGATGATAATGACATTGTTCATGTGAAATGAGGTATTGTCATCAGTGGCAGGGGCTATGGACCATGAGGATAATCGTGTTCTTGCAGAAGAAGGAAAAAGAGGAGGAGAGTTAGGGGCCTTGTGGGTACTTTTTGTGAGCATTGATCTAGTGGAATGAAACATACCCACCTATGATGCTATGAGTCACATTCTGAAGATTTGAGGCCGTTGCCGGTGAGAATCCATTGATCCTGAAAATGTTGAATTGTCTTTATGTGAAATGCCAGGATCTGAATGAGAATTTCAAATTCCCAAGTAGGTTCCTGCAAAGCTAGTGCATCTTAAGGAGGATGGGAGAAATGAAGAATTGAACTTTTTCTTCTTTTCTTTTCTTTTTCTCTTTTTTTTGGAGAAAAGGGTGCATGAAAAGCCACCTGTATCACAAGGGGATAGGGACGAATTATGCTTATTTGAATGCCAACATGTTTATGATTGCAAATTGAGATTCAAGAAGAGCAGATTTACAGTATGTTAATGACTGAATGTTAAACAGGAAGGATATCAAACAATTATCTTCTGATGGATAGGAGGAATCCTAAAAATTGAACTCCTAGTACTACACCAGAAAATGAAAGAGGATGATGCTTGGAATATACAATGGAGCCAATGCATGTGCAAGTTCAAAGGCGTGGCATAATTGTAGTTACTGGACCAACAAGCACTAAAAATTAAACCTAGAGTAACATGGATGAATGCAATTAAAAAATATAGAATAGTTATTAATCTATTCAAGGAGTTGACCCTTTAAGAAAAATAAGTATTCATAAACTAACCTCGAAACTCTGAGGTGAATGTTCCATTGTTGTTATTGTTGCCAATGTCTAAAAAAGTGGAAACACAAGGCGAAACGTTAGGCCCTTTTATGAACTGAGGTGTAAGTTTCAAAGCGTGAGGCGATAGTTTATTTTACACCTTACAAATATTATAGACATATAATATGGAAAGGTATAATAATTTATAAATTGATATTCCAGGACTAAATTTGCTAACTATAGATGTAAAGCATAATAAACTAAGCCACATATATATGTAATCACATGGTCCTATATTGATATGCACTCATCCTCATTTTAACTGTCATATTCAATAGCTACATATAATATTTATAAACACATGTTTATTTATAGATACACATTTTAATTTTAGTTAAATCTTTTTATATCCTCCTCTCTTGTCTAAAAACGTGGACTTCAAAAGAGAAGCACTTCATAGAAACGCAAAGTGCTCACTTTAGTTATGTTTTAAACAATGAGGCGTAAGCTTCGAGGTATAAATAGCTTGAGTTTTGACGCAATTGTCAAAAAGTTTTGAAGCGAGTTTCGAAGAGAGTTTCAAAAAGTTTTTCCAAAGCACTGGTTGTTATTGTTGTTAGACCATAATAAATGTTATCTTTCGCTTCTTTTTCTATTTTTGGTGAAGAAAAAGTGTTCATTTGAGACATATTCATTTGCTCCCTCTTTCTCACACTTTGCTTTTACATTTCTCTTTACCATTACATTTTGTTAAAATATTTTAAATATTAAAGAAAATTTTCAACAGCCACAAAAATTTTAACTGGAAGCATGTCTGTGATCCAATTTGTTACTTGAACATGTCTATGATCCAATAAGCTTTGTTACTCAAAACCACTAAGTGCGCAGCTTTAATGCGTCTTTTTTTTTATCATGTGGAGTCTGGAGTTAAGAGGATATCGAGGGTAGAAAGCCTGAAATTCACAAAATAGTTACTTTGTGTGCTTTGTGTGCCCTATGTTGGCTGGCTAAATTAGCCTAAATCTGTATACTCTATAAGACTTTTTTTCACGGGGAAGGAAAGTAGTTCATGCGAAATAATTAATCTTATATCCACTTTCTTCTTTACTCTTTGTTGTGCATGCGGGTGAAGGAACAGGTTAGGGCTTTATTGACTTTGCATGAATGGCATCTCCATCTTCATCCTTATACTGTATAAGCTACGTATTGTGACATTTAACTTTTTCTCTAGGTGATTATGTCCTACTTTTGACTCTAATCTTTGCACCATCTTAGCATTTTCTAATTCTCTGTATAGTGTATAGTATTTGCCAACCCTTTTATAGCGATGAACCACTGTTACACACATTCTTCCAAGCCATCAATAATAAATTTACCCTTATTTATCTTAAAGACAAAAATTAGTTTCTATGAATTGTCACTTGGATCTTCACTGATGCTATCCTGTGGTTAAATATGTAGTACCAAGCTGGAGACCGGGTGATACTTTGGGTAAACAAGGTTGGTCCATACAATAATCCTCAAGAGACGTACAACTATTACCACCTACCATTTTGCCAGCCTGCTGAGAACCCTACACACAGATGGAGTGGGCTTGGAGAGGTTTTGGGTGGAAATGAGCTGATTGACAGCCAGATTGAGTTGAAATACCGCCGTATGTAAACTTTTTGTTCTATTCATTTTCTATTGTTTTTATAGTGACACCAACTATACATTAAACTCTGGATAGTGGAGCTCAGTGCTGAGAATATGGTGAATATTTATCTTAAAATATCATATTATTTCAGAAAATGTTGAGAAGGCCTCCATTTGTCCAATTGAACTTGATGCTATGAAGGTGAAGCAGTTTGCGGATGCAATAGAGAGCTCATATTGGTTTGAGTTGTTCATAGGCATGTATCACTCCCTTTCACTTTTCACTTTAAGAATTAAAGAAGCTGTGTCTTTGCATATTATTATATTTGTAATTTATTGATTTGCTCGTGTTCATAGGCATGTATCACTCCCTTTCACTTTTCACTTTAACTATTAAAGAAGCTGTGCCTTGTATATTATTATATTTGTAATTTATTGATTTGCTCGTGTTCATGTCTGACATCTCTCTGTTCATATTCTCCGGCCTCTTCCTTTGTGCACAATTATCTAGATGATCTGCCATTCTGGGGTAAGTATCTCCCATTTCTTTACTTTTGTTCCTTCTCTAAGAAGATCAGACACCTCATTTTCAGCTTATTATAATCAGGTTTTGTTGGGGAGACTGACAAAAATAACGAGAACAAGCACTATCTTTTTACGCACAAGAATGTTCTTGTTAAGTACAATGGAGAACAGGTATTTGGCTGTAATCTAAGTTTTATGGATATCCAGTAATAAATATTCTCAACACTGAGGATATTTATTGGTTATATGCATGTTTGCAGATCATTCATGTCAATCTTACTCAAGAAAGTCCAAAACTCTTGGAAGCTGGGAAGACAGTGGACATGACTTACTCAGTTAAATGGGTACCTACAGATGTAACATTTGCACGTCGTTTTGATGTTTACTTGGATTACCCTTTCTTTGAGCACCAGGTAATCCATTTTTACATTAGCAACTTTATGTCTTTGTTGTCCAACTGGCAGTATTAGAAGTGTCCTTTTCCTCCCAAATATATGTCTTATGCACACTTTTAGGGAACACCTGAACTGTAATTATTGACAGTTTAGTGTAAACTTTTGAACTCACTGATACATGCATAGTTTATGAATTTAACCTTTTCAATTTAACATAGCATCTTGTCGGATGCTGTGACTCTTTTTGCTCCAATCATTCTAACTGCTTTTAACAGGTTTGATGCTCACTAAACAATAACTTTTGACTGAATTTGTACAGATTCACTGGTTTTCCATCTTCAATTCTTTCATGATGGTCATTTTCCTAACTGGGCTGGTGTCAATGATATTGATGAGAACACTTAGAAATGACTATGCCAAGTATGCTCGGGAAGATGACGACCTGGAAACTCTGGTGATTCCATAGCACTTGTATTTGTTTTTGCGTTTGTTGTGTGGAATCTGTAACATTTATCTAAAAGATTCTCATTTTCTAGTAGCAAGACAGATTGGATATGTTATTCTAGCAATCAGCTAACATTGTAAATGTTTGTGTTCTTAGGAAAGAGATGTGAGTGAAGAATCTGGATGGAAGCTTGTTCATGGGGACGTCTTCCGGACTCCTCGCAACTTAGTTCTTCTTTCAGCTGTTGTTGGTACTGGTGCGCAGCTGGCATTGCTCGTTCTTCTAGTCATTGTGTTGGCTATCGTTGGGATGTTGTACATCGGGTATGCTTAATTTCAGTTACTTGCCGTTTTTTGTGTGCTTGCGCTGCTAAGTATGATCTAGTAAGTAATTTTTTTCAGCGAATTGCCAGCATGTTGATTAAGAAGAATATATAGATTTGCATTTACACTTGGTAAACATTTACAGCAAGTCGGTTCAGTTGTTTGTTATACCAATGGGCTGACTTTCATTTGTTGTATACATTGGCCTGAGAATTAAGGGCCCTTTTAAAGGAATCCATCTACTACCTAGCGCTTTGGTTCTATCATATTTGCTATAGTAGTATAAAGTAGAAGTTTGATGATCTTCCCCACCTTCTTAGGTTTTTTCCACGTTCTAGTAGAAATTTGGAGGTTCTTGTTCACATGACCTTAAATTGTCTGTTCAGGAAGTGCATTAACTCTACTTGCCAGCTGACCTTTAAAACTATAGAATTCTGGAAAAATCTGTTGTCTTGCCAAGCATTTCCTAACTAAGAAGCTGGATGTAATTTAAGGCCCATCATGTTAGGTTCTTGCTAGTTATAAGATTTGGCCAAGCTATTTATGGAGAACTAGTCACTGCAAACTCATGATTAGCGGCAAAAGGGAATGCTGCTATGCAGGTTTACATGTTGTTTACCATACAGTGTGTTTGGTTTGGGCAGTTGGAGTTTCAAGTGAATTCATAGCAGTTGTGTATTTTCAACTTTTGTTGTTGGACTACTACTCAATTTGAGTGCAACGAACTCCCCTATATATAGGGTATTTTGTATTTAATACTATTTTTACACCTACTCTTTAGTGCTCCAAGGACACCGAACGAACATGTCTGATGGAATTTAGATGTAGTTGAAACTATATTGGACTCCAACTACTTCCTATCCGAATAGACCTTAGTTTCGGTATTGTTTAAGTTGATGTGACACTCTTGGTTGACTTGACTGACCTCAGTCTCATCTTTTTAATCTTAAAGTTGAGATCCTGTTGGATGGTACCCACCATTCTGTTGCCTCAGCCAGGCAATGGTGATAGTTTGTGTGTGCGTGTGCATGTGAGGGCTGGAGTAACATGACAACCATGGGGCTGCTTGATGATCTGGGCTCTGATGGTTGTGCCACGTCGGTGGGTGGTATGTATGTTGGTGGGTGCAGTGGCGGAGGTAGGTGTAGGGGCATGTGTGAGCGTGTGCACTATCTAGGGGCGTCTCTTTGAGGGCTATAGTTATATGCTCTTTGTTATGTGATTTCTCAGTTTTCTTTCACAAGGCAACTCTTGTGTAGATTGATTCGCATTTGGAATCCTCTAGAACCCTTAGAGGGTGTTTGGCAACTCCCAAAAAAAAAAAAAATCTAGACTGGTCTTCCTTTAGCTGGGCCAAAAAGAAAACTAGTTTAAGGGCCAGAATTGTACCTAAGAAAACTGGTTCAATTCTGGCCCACCTTTTGCCGAGCTAAAATTTAGCTTTTGGGCCAAGGTTGTCTCTGCTAAAACTAGTTTTGTGGAGTTTCCAAACACATCCTTATGTTTTGAGCCGTGGGTATTACTGAAGTTTGCCATTTTACTCAGTTTCTTATATGCACATCACGTCATATCAGAATTATGATTTACTTCATGGTTACTCAAAACATGCCTATCTGCCTGCTTGTGTGTCACTTAATTGCCTATATTGTTTGTTACAGTGCAAGCATGTGCTTAGTAGTTAGTAATGTGTACAGTAGTTGAGCACTTGGGTCCTGGAAATTGGAATAACTGAGATATTCAATTTGATTATGGATGCTGTACTTTTATTTGTCTTGTCATACATGCAAGCCTAGTAAATTTTTCCAACCTATGATTGCAAGTAGTAACCTTTCCATAAGTTATGCCAGAATATGACTCTTGAACTCAGCATTTATCTTATGCATGTATTTGGATCTTTAGTTATTCTCCCTTTAACACATTATGTGTTGTTGCAGGCGAGGATCTATTGTCACGACTTTCATAGTGTGCTATGCTCTTACATCGTTTATTTCTGGTTATGTTAGCGGTGGGCTTTACTCAAGGAATGGGGGTATGGTACTCACTGTTTAGTTTAGTTTTGTTTCAAGCATCAATCTGATGTTTTAATTTTCCTGATTTTTAAGGAAACATTTCCAGTACCTGTAATCTGAGTTACGACTGAGATCATATCTTTGCTTTAATTTATTACTTATATGCTGTATGCTTGATTGCTGGAATATTTGTTGTCAGGTAAAAGCTGGATAAAGTCCATGATACTCACAGCATCATTGTTCCCATTTATGTGTTTTGGAATTGGTTTTGCATTGAATACGGTTGCTATCTTCTATGGGTCGCTAGCAGCTATTCCTTTTGGGACTATGGTGGTTGTCTTCATAATTTGGGCATTCATCTCCTTTCCTTTGGCACTTCTAGGCACTGTTGTTGGCAGGAACTGGAGCGGAGCTCCAAATAATCCTTGCCGTGTGAAAACTATCCCTCGTCCTATTCCTGAGAAAAAATGGTATCTCACCCCTTTTGTGGTTTCACTCATGGGAGGACTTCTTCCTTTTGGCAGTATCTTCATTGAGATGTATTTTGTCTTCACATCCTTCTGGAATTACAAGGTAAAGAAGTCTTAAATATATACATTCTTACTTCCAAATCATGGTTATTAATTGTACGTATGATTTTCCCAGCTTGTGGTCCTTTTGCGAAGTCTCATTATTCTGTTGGATCATCTATAATAATTTGTTTGATGTTTTTACTTGGACATTTTACTTCTAAAAGAGGTGATTCTAGCCTTATGTCAATAAGCATGGTTGATGACGCTTCATTGTTGTGCAGGTGTATTATGTCTATGGTTTCATGTTGCTGGTTTTCTTGATCCTCATTATTGTCACAGTCTGTGTAACCATTGTGGGCACATATTTCTTGCTGAACGCCGAGAACTACCACTGGCAGTGGACTTCATTCTTTTCTGCTGCTTCCACGGCTGTCTATGTGTACCTTTACTCTATTTACTATTATTATGTGAAGACCAAAATGTCAGGCTTCTTTCAGACTAGCTTCTACTTTGGCTACACTCTAATGTTTTGTCTCGGTTTAGGAATACTTTGTGGTGAGTCAACTTCATGATCTTTTTTTAAAAAAATTGTAAAGGAGAGGCTAGGGAGGAAGGAGGGTGACACGTGGCATATCACACATCTTGATATAGACATCACTAGTCTCTTTCAATAATTACAATCTGGTACCTAGAGGTATAGTGTACTTACACGGGTGACCGCAGTCTGTGTATCTATGTGGGTAACCCTTAGGTCTTTATTGTACTTACACGGGTAATCATAAGAGTTTCTTTTCCTACTGGCTTTAGGGTTACCCATGTATTAAAATTAATAATTTCAAGGTTACTCGTGTAGATAAGCAAACTCCAAGGTCATCCCTGTAATAACACCATAACCTCAGGGTACCGGAATGTAATTAATCCTTATCTAATCCATCACTGCACTCACAACTCTATTGATAGTGACTGCATTGATAGACATCTGATTTCACTGGTATGCCAAGTGTTACCCTCTCTTCCCCCTCCATACGATATCCTTTAGAGGGCCTCCTATAAGGTTTTCCCCTCCTTGAATGACGCTCCATGTTAAAATTCAGGTGCTGTTGGTTATCTGGGCTCTACTCTGTTTGTGAGAAGAATCTACAGAAACATCAAATGTGATTAGCCAAGAACCAGACGAGGGGTGTCTTATGAAGCCAACACATTCTCCTTAAGTGCAAGACTGCGTGAGCTTAAGGTGAATCGCCGATTAAAATATTTTGACGCTCACCAATGCAAGGGATGCTATATTTTCTTTACGCTTCAGTTCCCTTCTGATCTCTGTTGTTAGGTGCTGAATTCGTTTCTCATGTAGTTAGCAGCAATACTTTATCCAGTGCGGACGTAGTGTTATATCTGGCAGGCAACATAACACACTGCTTTCTTACTTGATTTTGTTGTGAGCATGAACCCAAGAGTTGTACCTGTTCTGTCATTTGTTTTCTCCTCTTTTTACAGCCCCTATTTCATCTAACCATTGTTTTTATACTAGACGCGGGTTGGAATTAAGCTTGTTGGCCAAATCCTCCTGCGTCTTGAAGCGGTTGAATGACTTAGCATCTGAGTAAAGTTATGTGTTCTTGCCTGTCCAAAAACAGACACCGTTACCATTTTGAGTGTGGTGCTTGTCGACAACATTCGGCTATTTAGTAGATGTGAAGCGTTTAAACTTAACAAGTTTCTGTATGGGACAGAGCTTTTGATGGTTATTTGAGATGATGCATCACAGATCTGCGCGTGACGCGAAATGAGAAGGCAATGGTCGGTTTTATGTTTCTAGAATTGTTCGTTTACAGGGATTTGGAGAAAAATCAACTATCGAAATTGTAACAACTACAGTGATTGCTAAATTATCAAATACTCTCAAGTAGTACCAATAATTTTTCAATCATCAATAATTAGGCTCCCCAATACAGCTCTTAAAAGGACAGCCCAAGACAGCATATTTCAACAACCTAATGTTTGCACTTTTATATGAGTAGCAGTTAGTTGTTGTTAAAAGACAGATAGGTTTATCAATAAGAACTACGATTTTCATGGGAATAAGAATAATAGAAAGAGGGGTAACATTGGGCCACTCTTCGAAAGAACAAATTGAATATAAATTGGACAAATTTTCAAACCCAACCTGTTTGTCAAAAAATTCCCAAAATTAGACCCGTCTCAAGCTTAATTTTAAAAACCGACCTAGTTGGCTAGAAACTGGGTCGGTTTTTGAAAAAAAAAATCCCAAACTTCATGGGAGTTGAAATCCCGTGAAGTTTTGTTATATAAAAATCTTCACGGGACTTCAACTCCCGTGAAGTTTGAAAATTTTTTTTTCAAAAACCGACTCAGTTTCAACCAACTGGGTCTGTTTTTAAAATTAAGTTTGAAATGTGTCTGTTTTTAGGAATAAAATTCAAAATAGGTTGGTTATGAAAATTTGTCCAATATAAATTAGGTGGAGTGCTTGGGTTTGTGGAGTTCACGTCTTGTTCCTCGCTCCATATTTGTTAGTCATTATTTAGGGGTTTTGGAAACAAACAACATAATTAAGACGAGTATTCCGGAATCGCTAATAGACATTAAAAAAAAAAATCCATCGTACGATGAGATTCCATAATGTTGAACCTCTATAAGAAAAGTTATAGACATCAACCAACGTAGAGCAGTATCAAAGATAAATAAGAACCAAATTAAATTCAGAGATACACTGTTAAATACTCATAAACAACTAATATAGTAATACACGCGCATATAGGTAGTAAAACCCAAAAATAATAATGATGATAATAACGATAATCAGGGGGGAAAGATTCAGCGTAGGAATTTTAAGGGGAATTGTTTTGTGAAATAAACAAATATTTCGAGGAGTTCTCCTCCTCTCCAAACGTCTCAATGAAAAAAATAAAATAAAAATAAAACCTTCTACTTGCATTCTCTAACTGTTGCCCTCCGTTACATTTACCATTTTGTCGTTTCAAAGCTCGTTTGTTTCGTGGTCGACGCCAGCTGGCAACTCAGGCAGCCGACGGCTTACAAATTAACAAAAAAAAAAAAAGGGAAGAATGCCAAGAAAAGACAACTAAAAAGCAGAAAATGCCATCGTTATTAATGGCGAGATTGTCTGCCCCTTTCCTCACGCGAAAATGGCGGTTTCCTCTTCTAATCCGTGGGCCCGGAGCCTCGCCCCTGGGCCCCACGATACAGACCGGAGCCAGCTCCGTCCCACTGCTCAACAGTCTGTCTCCCTCTCTTATAAATACGCCCCCACCCTCTCCCTCCCTCTCTCCAGCTCACCTCTCGCAAAATTCTCCAACCCCCCAGCGAGTCTCCCCTTCTCAAAATTCCCGATGGCCCAAGAAGACGTCATTGCCACCGAGCCCAGCCCAGTTCAGCAGCCCAGCCCAAAAAAACCCTCCTCGCCGCCGGCTGTCGTCAAGTCGGGCTCCTTCAGGGAGGAGAGCAACTCATACTCCGACTCCAAGAGCACGAGAAAGCGGCCCTCGACGAGCTCAGATCCCTCTCCGATCCGAGCTCGCCGCCCCGCCGCCTCCTCCGGCGGCGGATCCGCCGTCCGCCGGCGGGGCAAGGCCGAAAACGCCGACGACGGGCGCCAAGACGGTGGAGGCCATCGATCCACGTCGTTCCCGGCCGCTCCACGCGGGGCGGCGGAGAGCCCGCGCGTTTTATGGGGAGTCCCGCTCCTCGAGAGAGAGCCGACACCGGTCTTGCTCAAGTTCCTGCGGGGCCGGGACTTCAGGATGCGAAGGGTCGATGGAGATGATAAGGCCCAAACCAAAATTGGAGGTAGGAGTTCGGGATCGAGAAGGCTGGCGGGAGGAGGACCTCGGTGCGTGTACATCGTCGCGGGATGGGCGGGCCGTGTTCATGGCGGCGGCGTCGACAGGGAGGGGCCACCCGTCTGTATAACGTGTACGGGGAGTTCCAGAACAGGGATCTACGAGAAAGCCCTTTCGGCGGCGACGGCGGAGAGAAGAGCGGCGAGGTTCTTGAGGTGGAGGATCAGTACCTGTGAGAAAGGGGATCAGGGAGTCTGCCCGACCTTCAAGCCCGCCGGGTCTCGACGGGTGCAGCGTCACCGACCTCACGGCACTCGCCGGGGCTGCTGAAGGCCGAGCTCCGCCAAGCCCTCGACATCCTCCAGAACAATTACCCTGAATTCGTCGCGAAACAGGTACACGATTAACGCTTGCTTTGCTTGCTTATGACGTTGTTCAATCTAAATGTTGACCTTTGTTTAGATCTTCATCAACGTGCCGTGGTGGTACCTCGCGTTCAACAAGATGATCAGCCCGTTCCTGACCCAGAGGACCAAGAGCAAGTTTGTCTTCGCTGGGCCGTCCAGATCGGCGGAGACCCTGTTCAAGTAAAATACTTTCATAGCGGTCTCTCGAGTTTTCTTCTTAATTAAGGGTTATTTTTCTAAACTAATGCCGTGGTGTCTCGCTGCTGTTGTAGCTACATTTCTCCCGAGCAAGTCCCGGTTCGATTTGGAGGGCTACTGACCCAGGAAAATGATCCTGATTTCGCCCCCGCCGACGTCGTCACCGAGGTCACCGTGAAGCCTGGCTCCAAGCAAATTATAGAGATGCCAGCCGCTGAGGTGGGCACAGCTTCTCTTCTTTTACCAATTAACTCATCACAATTACATGCTCGCGTTGAATTTTTTTTCTTCTTTTCACCAACTGTTGCGATGCTGAATTAATGTTTTTTTTTGTAGAAATGCCTTCTTGTGTGGGAGCTCAGAGTACTGGGTTGGGATGTAAGCATTGGTGCTGAGTTCGTTCCGAGCTCTGAGGATGGATACACCGTGATCATAGACAAGTTGAAGAAACTGGGGGCAAAAGATGAGGCCGTTGCTAAGAACAGCTTCAAGATCGCCGAGCCCGGCAAGGTGGTGATCACTGTGGACAACGCTACCTCAAAGAAGAAGAAGCTCCTATATAGATACAAATCGAAGGAGTGCACCGAGTCCGTTTGAATTAATTGCTCGGGAGAGGAAAATTAAGTTTAGTCGTTGACCGTAGGGAAGCAGAGGAGTTGCATCCGTTATTTGTTTGTTGTTTTGGTGAGCTGAAGTTGAATTGGTGTGGATATTTTTTTGTGAGAGATTTGAGTTGGCATCGTGTTTAATTATTATTTTGGAATGGTAGAGAGAGGAGGTGATGGAGTTGATGTCGAAGCTGTTTTGTCTGTAAAATTTCTGTGTATGTTGAGGACTTTGGTCGTGGAAAGAATCTACATCTTGTTCCCTTCTCGTTTGAATTGATGCTTTGTCTTCATTCTCTTTGTTTTGACCATCACGATGGCACCCTTTTATTATTATTATTTTTGGACTTTTCATGTCCGCCAATCATAATCGTATGGTCTGCTACCAAGCTTATTGAAGCTAGGAAAATGACAGGGGCACATCCCCAACCACACCTCATCTCTCATTTGCTACAGTGTACCAGGCCCCACATGAGATTTTAAATTTTTAAAATCACATGTGATCGAGGTGCACTGTAGCAAATGAGAGAAGAGGTGTGGTTGGAGGTGTGGTTAGGGGTGTGCCCCTAGTGCCACCCTGGAAGCTAAAATCTCACGTCCTAGCATCCGTTGTGACTTGAGTATTCTTTTTAGAAAATGCTTTAAAAGGACCCGGCTCACTATGCAAAAGAAGGAGGAGGATATCTTATCTGCCCCTTCAATAGTCTCATATTTTAAGTTTCCGTAGCAGCGTTATTCTTTTTAGTAGTTTTTAGACATTACAGCATTCATCAGTGCTGTTTGATGAGATTCGAACATACATTATTTGGACGCTAAATCAGAGTTATTCTCTTGCACCAACATCTTGAGGTTATATGCTTAGATTCATAGGAATTAAGGAGGGTAATCAATTAGCTATAATGATGATGCTTATTTATTCTGTTTCCAGCTAATTGACTTTGGAATCCACCGCGTCAAAAGGAGGACCGTCCTGGTTGTCTCCGACTCAGGTTCAGAGGACTACAGTGCTAAACATAGTAGACAATTTGTCACGGTGAACAAGGGAAGAATCCTATGTTTAAAGAAATCAGCGACGTGATTCTAAACAGGACAGGCGAAATAATTAAGATGAGGATTAAGGGGACAAAACACGAAAAGGAGGGGCTTCTCTTTTTTGGCGAGAAGGGCATCGGTTAGGTTCTTTGTTTTTGGGCTTGAATAATGAAATATTTGGGATTCTCCGCTGCCACCCATCAAAGTAAACAACCAAAGGGGGCGCTTTACTCGAAAATTTCTACGGGATTGACCCTCATATATTGATTGGGCTTTGTCCATGCCGACCATGTTCCAGTATTTTTTTTCTTAGATTAACGTCTCGTGGACCCTAAATAAAGGACCTAATGAGAGACATGTGAGGCGTCCTCCCTGGTTGCGTGATGCACTGTTCATAAACAGTTCATCACGCTGAAGCAACGCCCGTCAATCCTAATTCTAAACTAATAACACTTTAAACTTAAATTTAAATTTAACTTCTAGTCTTAAATGGAGAACACATTGAATTAAAATCCAACAGAAAGTCACAGTCCCAATCAACAATCCCGAACGGATAATCCCCCTACTTTCTCCAATTTTTATATTCATCGTACCTTCAATTTAAGGGGGGGACAAGCCGCCGAATAATCATTGAAGGAGCGGTCCCATTCTTGACTCGTCAAGATTATATTCATCCTTGCAATGCAACCACTGTGAATATATCCAACTGGCACCACTGTCATTATGCGAGTGGCTACGCATTTCTCATTTTGCTGGCACTTTTGTGACGTGTTGATAAACAAACAAGCCTACTTCATTTCTTAAAATTGAGCTCAAAAGCAGCTGCACAAATATTTTCCCTTTGAAAAAAAAGAAAAAGAAAAAAAGGTTGCTGTAGCCCAAATTGGATTCGGGTCAAGCTTATGAAGCGGGCATTTTCTACTGGACACTTCACTTGGGCTACCAAGTAACAAATACGTGGAAATATTAATGCGTGCCGTTGTTGGGCCTGTAATTTGGCCCAGCCCATCTAAGCTCCATCGATTCTTTAGGCTCCCGTACCTTCTGCCACGCTCCACCAAGTAGCCAGCCGACTCAACTACACGTGTTAGCATCCTTCAACACGTGCCAATAATCTCTCCCTCCACGTGTCGACCTCCAAAAGCGTTCTCCAAAAACGGCCCACCGAAATCGGAGCACGTCCATCTTCACTCTCCCGAGAAAATTCCAATCCGATCCAAGGAAAAAAAAATAAAAATATGATCAATATCGCAGCCTTAGCCCTCCTCATCTCCTCCCTCGCCGCCGCCGGCGTCTGGTCACCTCCGCCGCCGTCACCCC